GTCAGTTGGAGTTCTTTCACCATGAAAACCTTTAAGTCTTATAAACCTCCAAGGTATAAATATTGTCGTTTAGGACTTGATGAATTGGGAAGTTTAAATGCTGAAGGATACAAATATCATCCAGTTGCTTTGCTAAGATTTTTTTGAAAGTTTCAGGACAGTGACAAAAAAGGATAGTTCTTTTGACAAATTCTTATGTTTTCAGGCACTCAGCTTTATTTCCCACATGTGGTGAGAGTCTTATTATGGCGATTGCCAAATAAGACAAGCTTATGGGCCTTTCTCACAAGGGATGCATTGCAACAAAATCTTAAAGGAAAACTGTTAATTCTAGATACATGTATGAACCCATCATTATCATGAGGGCAAGCTTAGTTCTTTGCTGCATACACATAATGCCTCTCTTTTGAAGTTTATTTGAAAAGCTATCAGTAATGCTTAATGTGGATGACAATTTAAAACGATTCCATCAAGCAAAAGAAAACTGATTACCTTATTGGCCAAATTACTCGTAGCTTTAATATCGGCTCTCAAAATGAGATACCCATTCATGGGTTATATCCCATGCAATAATTTTGAATGGATACAAACTCTTGATATGTCATTTTTATTTGGAATGAAACATGTCAATGGATTTACATTCTAATATGCATTAATAAACAGAAATGTCAGTTAAACAAGCTGGAAATTTAAGGGTGGAGCATTTGGCTGTGGCTGACCTTAACATCAGTATCATTTTCCATGAACTTGAGGTTTCTCCGAAGCACACAAAAGGGGTAATGAATCTGGTACAAAAAAAATGCTAGAGAACAGTAGCCTATGAAACCTCTCTAAATGCCAGGGTGCTTCTTGTAATCACTATCATGCTTGACTGCACACGACTCCCTGTCCAAGCTGAATAAAGAGACAAAAAACAACAGGAGGCAAATCAGAAATCCTGTTTTGGGTGGGGGTGGCAAAACTGAACAATCAACAATTGATGCCACCAATCAAAAATTTTATTTAAAAGCACTGACTTCCATTTGTTTTGGCTCATTAGTTTTTGCACTTGCACTTGTGTCTTTTTGTACCTCCTTTCTGGGCAAGTAAATACGTGTACAATCAAATACATGAAAACTCATAACGGTTGTGTACCCAAATGAACTTCAGTTTCCATGGTTTTCAAGTGCTTTCAATTTCTTTCATATCAGAGTATGTGAATTGTTTTGTCTAAAATAAATCCCTAGTCTCTGAAGAATGTGAATAAAGTTTGACAGTTTCCCATTCTTTGGTGAACCTGATAAATTTGCGTCCAAAAAACATCTTTTCACTAATCTTCTCATTTGGTAGCTTTGCTAGTTCGCTTCATAAAAATGCAGTCGATAATGATGTGAGCACAGTCAACTGACATCACAGAGAACACTGCTAAAACAAATACAAGGAAATATTTCAAGAATCCACATTTCTTAATAGATGCTTTGCTATGTTTTTCCCAATTTTTTGTTATAATATAGTCGTGCAGTAAACAAAGTAATATGCTGGATCTTACAAGATTTGACTGTACTTTCTCCGAAAAATCTTGACTCTCTGCCATTTTAAATGGTTTTGAACAGAACAAACCTAAGGTCTTGAGAATTGCAATTTCCAAGCTCCTCTAAAACAATGAAATTTTAGGATGTCAATAGAGTCCTCCATGACTTCATACACATTGCATCCATCACATTTGCAGATGCATTCTCTGAAAAGTGCACTCCTTACCTCTTTACCAATGGTTTTCCCTCTGCTTTTGTATAAGGGCTTGGGAACTTCAAATCCAAGGCAAAATGATACCAACAGAGTTTATTTTCAGAACTGACAGCGAGTGAAAACTGTTTTGGGTCACTAATTAGTGCCAAACCTGTGCTCGACCAGCACTTTAGTAAGATCACGACTTTTCCATTCATACTCTATTTTTATCATTGCACGTGGATTTGGCAGCATTACAAACCATGTCTTTAACCATGAGCTGAAGTTGATGGATAATTTCCGCCTTGCTATCCGGGAATTATTTTCCTACAACCTTGTTACTTTAGTTGCAGGGGTACACAACCCTCATCCCCTCTCCTACATGCACTTCCACCTGGCAAAAATTACTTCTCAGCATAAACAGTACATTAAAACATAAGAGAACTCATTACATAGTGTAGTTGCTCTTGCTCTAAGGGTAAGTTTAACATTTGGCTTGTTTGTAACCATCTTTCATTAACTCAAGTTTACACATAAATGGTTTTATGAGTAACAAGGATTTCCCATTTATTTTACCTTCAAAAAATGTGCTGGAATTGTTGAACTGTTGTTGAACAAAATATTCAGTTGTTTTCAGACATTGTCAAATAAAGAAAAGCTGAAAGATAAAAAAATTCAAAGGCCCTGGCCTATGCACACATGCAACAAATTCCCTCCCCCCCATGAAAATTATGTATGGAACAGACAAAAGTTGAACAAAACATTCGGTTGTGTTGATATATTGTACAAAAAAAGCAAGGGGAAAAATAAAGAAAACAAATCTTAGCCAAGTATCACAAGGAGTAACAAAAAACTAACATGTCATTTTATCACAAAACGAACCATTTGTGAACAGAACATCACTCCAAGGCCCAAAAGAATAACAATCAATTGCATCTGTTCCTTCAATGTCAGCATGGTATGCTAATGAAGGCCCAAATTCCAAAAGAGCAAAAGAAATCAATTCCTAAGTAGGTCCTGCGGAAGGAAAAAATGGAAAACAATTCTAAGTGGAATCTCACAAGCAGTAGGCCTAAGAAAAAATTTCATATTATTAACTAAACAGACGTTTATCATCTAGAACAAGAACTCCAACTTCCAAGGCTCAAAAGAATAAAAAAGAATTTTTTAAAATTCCTTCAACATCTGCATGTTGGCCCAAAAACCCAAAAGTAGGCCCTGCGGGGGGGGGGGGATTCTAAGTGTAATTTCACAAGAAGTAAGAACCATTTTCATGATTGTCAGTTTATTAACAAAACTGATGTTCCAAGGCCCAATAAAAAATCAATTCCTTCGACATCAGCATGGTCTGTCATAGCCTCACTAGTGTGGCACAGACTCTCACTCCCGCTCCATCCTTAGCCACACATCTGTATGCGCAGTTTCATGTCAGCGTTCTAAACATTTTCGCCGCACCTACTGATCATCGTGGGCGCAATTTCTTTTGCACACAGAGATGATCCTTTGCCTCTCCGCTCTCATAGCGCCATTTATTGAATGATATCTTGACATGGAGCAGCCATCATATCTAATACACGAACTGAGCGATAAGATACATGTACCAATGGGCTCTTCCAAAACTTTGGCAGCAGTTTAGATGTTTTGACATGGAACAGCCGTCGAGACGATGAGGGGTCAAATGATGTAATGTTCAACGACCTTATTTTAAAGATGGCGACTGTGAGAGCGAGTATGCGAGGTTGAATGGGTGAAGGCAAAATGACTGGAAAATACCAGAATGTGAGTGAAATTGTTCAATAAATGGCGCTAAGAAAGCAGACAGGCTAAGAATCATCTCTATGTGCTGGCCGACACGAAATTGCATATACGGATGTGTGGCTAAGGATGGAGTGGGAGTGAGAGTCCGTGCAACACTAGTGGGGCTAGGTCTATCATGTTCGTGAACGTAGTGGCCCTAATTCCGAAAGGACCCCAAAACAATTAGCAAGGGTCACTTGCCTACAAACTCACATTTGGTAATTTTTCCAACATCTTTAAGCATTGAATTAGATTCAATCTAACGGGCTCGATCTCAATGTCGCCATCTTTAAAATAAGGTTGTTGAACATTACGTCACTTGACCCCTTATCTTCTCGACGGCTGTTCCATGTCAAAACATCAAAACTTCCGCCAAAGTTTTGGAAGAGCCCATTGGTACATGTATCTTATCGCTCAGACCATGTACATGTATTATATGAGAAAATAAGGGGTCAAGTGACATAATGTTCAATGACCTTATTTTAAAAATGGCGACTGTGAGAGCGAGCCTGTTAGATTGAATGGATAAAGGCAAAAAGACTGGAAAATACCTGAATAACGTCAGAAAGCGGAAAGGTCAAGGAAAGGATCATGTCCGCGTGCAAAAGAAATTGCGCCCACGATACGTGGGTGCACCGAAAATGTTCAGTACACCGACACGAAATTGCACATACGGATGTGTGGCTAAGGATGGATCGAGAGTGAAAGTCCGTGCCACAGGCTAATCGAATCCAAGGCAGACATGTTCACTTCACATCTATCAACAATCAAGTATAATGTCTATTCGTTCAACGTAGGGTGGGCCACATTCCAGAGCTCAGAGAGCCCCATTTCCGACAGACAAAAACACACATTCCCGATGTCATTTGGGCCACACAATCTGACAAGAAACATTTCCAAACCTTCAGTCTGAAAAGCCACCACGTCTCTGCGAAAATCGCCGGCCGGATAGCCCAGGTTTCATCGAGGAAAATCGGGCGACAACGCGCGGGCGGAGGGCCGCCATTTTTACGCACAGAAACATAGCCTGTTTTCCAATACTCAATTCGGCTCCGTCGCAGCCTTCACCTGTTTTATAACTAGCTGACTTTGAAGCCAAAGCCCAGTAATGAGTCTAATAGTGCCACAGAACATCAAATAAGATGCGAGAGAGCCAGAAATTACAGTAATCCCATTTAATTGAAACGATTCAGGCCCACAATAGGGGATTGGTTTTGGGAACCATGTGGGAACGAAGCCACAGATGGAGCCCAAGTCGAATATTGGAAAAGGGCCATGGACTGCCCAAGCACATCCACGTACCCATTCGCTCACACAGTAGTAAAGTACAACGGCCCCGAAATTAAAAACAGAGAAGGAGGTTATGGTGCGCCAATCGTACAAATAACCATGTGCAAAAAGCGGTGGTTCCAATTGTTCCAATTTTGGGAATGGCAGTTTGTGATTGGTCGAAGTGGTTCCAATTCTTGTTCCAATTCTTACTCAAAGGTCGGGGGAAATTAGGCGCAAGCCCCGGCCGCAAGTTTCCCTTTTTCGGGCAGAAGTTACATGAATTCCTATCGCGTTGCACACATGTTCACTTCGCTTCCATTCGTTCAACGTAGAGTGGGTCAAATTCCGGACAGCACAATCTTCAGCGGACAAAAAAGATACATTTCCCGGGTCGTTTTATCCAGAAAAGAGACAAGAAACATTTGAAAACTTTCAGTCTGAAAAGCCACCACGTATCTGCAAAAATCACCGGCCAAATAGCCCTACTTTCCTGGTTAAAAATCGGGCGACAACGCGCAGACGGCGGGCCGCCACGTTAACGCACTGAAGGGTGCAGACCACTTATTATAGTGAGAATTTCTGGCCAGCTCATTAGCATTAAAAGTGCCGCCCTCCCCAGTATCTTTTGAAAAAGGAGATTGTTTGGTCCCCAAAATGGTGAGATTGTGTAAATCCTTGCAAGGATCAACTCCCTGGGTCTTTGAGCTTTCGTATGAGAGCAGAATGACTAAAAACTACGGTTGAAAAATGGTGCCCGAGAAAGTTGATGGTTGCCACTTGAAAAACAGCTGCAATCAGACTTCGGGAAAAATCACTTTTTCGGTGGTGATTTTTTTTTTTTTGTAGGAATAAATAAAAATGTAATTGATTAACGCACAAAAAATTGAAAAGAAATTAAAAGATAAGTGACCAGACAAGAATTTCATTTGAGTTTCAGAAATCTCAGGGATGTTGGCCTGCATGAAGTTGGGGCTTGAATTAGTGGACTGTACCCTGAAACAGACTGCCCAAGCACATCCAGATCCATTCGCTGCTCACTCGTCCCATCGGCCACGAAATTTAACAGGGAGAAGGAGATTATAGAGCGCTAATCGTACAAAACAGCATGTGCAAAAAGCGGTGGTTCCAATTGTTCCAATTTTGGGAATGGCGGTTTGTGATTGGTCGAAATGTTCCAATTCTTACTCGAAGATTAAGAATTGGAACCAGAATTGGAACCTTTCGACCAATCACAAACCGCCATTCCCAAAATTGGAACAATTGGAACCACCACTTTTTGCACATGCTTATTTGTTCGAATGGCGCTCCATAACCTCCTTCTCCGTGTATAATTTCGGTAACGGTCTACTCCACCAACTACTGTGTAAGCGAATGGGTACGTGGATGTACGTGCTTGGGCAGTGCATGTTTCTGTGTGTGATAATGGCTGCCCGACGTCCGCGCGTTGTGGCCTTTATGTGGCCAGTTTTTCCGCGATGAAACCTGGGCTATTTTGCCGTTGATTTTCGGAGGGACGTGGTGGTTTTTCAGATTGAAGGTTTGGAAATGTTTCTCGTCGTTTTTTGTGGCCCAAATGACGCCTGGAATGTGTGTTTTTGTCGGTCAAAAATGGGCCTGTCCGGAATCTGGCCCACCCTACGTTGAACGAACGAATGCGAAGTGAACATGTTTGCCTTGGATGTGACGGGAGTTCATGTAACTTCTGCCCGAAAAAGGGTACCTTAGGGGCGGGGAATTTCATAAAGACGTTCGAAAAATTACCAAATGTGAAGTTGAAGGCGAGTGACCCTTCCTATTTTGGGGGGGGGTCCTTTCTGAATTAGGGCCACTACGTTCACAGACCATGCTGTATGGTGAAGGAATTGAAAGATTTTTTTATTGGGCGTTGTAAAGTCTGTTTTGTTAATAAAGCGACACAGGTTGTTTCTTCTTATGAAATTAGACTTTGTTTTTTTCCCTTTTTGGAGTTTGGGACAACATGCTGACGTTGAAGGAATGGGAAAAATTTTTTTTTGAACCTTGGAGTTCTTGTTCTTAGGCCTAGGCCTACTTCTTTTGAGATGCGACTTGGAATTGTCTTCCTTTTATTTCCCCTCCTTTTTTTTCAGGGCCTACTTAAGAATTGATGTCTTCGGCCGTTTGGAGTTTGGGTTTACGTTTGCTCGACATGCTGACATTAAAGGAATGGATGCAATTTATTCTTTTTCTTTTTGGCCTTTGTTTTGAGTAATGTTCTGCTCAGAAATGGTCCATTTTGGGAAAAAATGACATGTTAGTTTTTTGTTAGTCCTGGCATACTTGGAATTTTTTTTGATTTGTTATTGCTTTCTTTTGGTACAATCTATCAACCCAACTGAATGATTTCTTCAACTTTTGTCTGTTCCATACAGAATTTGTCTGTGGGGTCGGGGATAAATTTGTCGCATGTGTGCATAGTCAATGTCCTTCCTTTGACTTTGTTGTGTTTTTTTCTTATCTGTTCTGTATTTGACAATGTCTGAAAGCAATTGAATATTTTGTTCAACAGTTGGAATTTTTTGCACCTCTTTTGAAGGTAGAATAAATTGGAAATCCTTGTTACTTAGTACACGCTTTTTGTGTAAAATGTAGTAAAAATGAGAAATGGTTACAAACAAGCCAAACTTGAAACTTACTGTTGGAGCAAGAGCAACTACACTGTATAATGAGTTCTTGTATGTTTAAGTACTGTTCATACTGAGAAGTCTGTGTTTTTGTTTTTTTTTTTCAGGTGGATTACATGGAGAGTTGCTTAGGGTTGTGTACATCTGCGACGAAAGTAACAAGGTCTGATGGCAAGGCGGAAATTATCCATCATGTTTGAGTCGTGGAAGAAGACATGGTTTTTAATGCTGCCAAATCCATGTGCAATGATAAAAACAAAGTATGAATGGAAAAATCATGTGATCTTTCTACAGTGCTGGTTGATCACAAGTTTGGCACTGATTTTTAACCCAAAAGTCTTTGCTCACGGTCAGCTCTGAGAGAATACTCTGTTTGTATCTTTTTGCCTGGATTTGAAGGTCCCAAGCCCTTAGACAAAAGCAGAGGGAAAACCATTGCTGCAGAGGTAAGGAGTGCAGTTTTTTGTTCAGCGAATGCATCTGCAAATGCGATGGATTGAATGTGTATGAAGTCATGGGGGAATCTATTGACATCATAAAATTCCAGTGTTTGTACAAAGGGTCTAGGTAAAAGCAACTCCCAAGACCTTTTTTTTTTTCAAAACCATTCAAAAAGAGCCAAGAGTCTCCAATTTTTGAGAAAGTATTGTCAACTCTTGTAAGATTCAACATATTACTCTACTGCTCAATTGCAATAAAGAAATTGGGAAGAATAGAGCAAAGCTGCCAGTAACGAATGGGGATTCTTGAAAGATCTCCCAGTGTTATGTTTTAGCAGTGTTTTCTTTGATGTCAGTTGACTGTACTCACATCATTATCAACCAATTTTTTTAGCTACTAAAGGAAAATATTGTTGAAAAGATGGATGGTTTATTTGGGCACCAATTTATCAGGTTTACCAAAGAAAGGGAAATTGTCAACTTTTATTCACATTCTCCACAGACTATGGCTGTATTTCGGACAAGGCAATTCACACACTCTCATATGAAATAATCGAAAGCACTTGAAAACCATGGAAACTGCAGTTCATTTGGGTACACAACGGTTCTGAGTTTTCATGTATTTGATTGTACATATATTTACTCGCCCAGAAAGGAGGTAGAAAAAGACACAAGTGCAAGTGCTAAAATTTATGACCACAAATAAAAGTAAGTCAGTGCTTATAAATGAAATATGTCATGTTGGCATGTATTGCTGATTGTTCAGTTTTGCCACCCCCACCCAACACAGGATTTCTGATTTGCCTCCTGTTGTTTTTTGTCTCTTTATTCAGCTTGGACAGGGAGTCGTGTGCAGTCAAGCATGATAGTGATTACAAGAAGCACTATGGCATTTAGAGAGGTTTCATAGCCTACCATTCCCGAGCAGTTTTTTGTACCAGCTTCATTACCCCCGTTGTGCGCTTTGGAGAAATCTAATTTCATGAAAAATAACGCCTCTGTTTAAGGTCAGCCACAGCCAAATGATGCGCCCTTCAATTTCCGGCATTTTTTAACAGACATTTTACTGTATTAATTGACGTAGGAATATAAATCCATTGAATTGTTTCATTCTAAATAGAAATAGCTTATGGAGAGTTTGTATTCATTACAAATGATTGCATGGTATATAGCCCATGAATGGGTATCTCATTTTGAGAGCAGATATTTTAGCAAGCTATGACAAATTTGGTCATTAAGTTAATAATATTTCTTTGCTTGTTTTCTTTTGCTTTGCAGAATACTGGTTCATTGTCATCAACATTAAGCATTCCGGATAGCTTTTCAAATAAATCTTCCCACGGAAGGCAGTGTGTGTATGCAACAAAGAACTAAGTTTGCCCCTCCTAAATATAAGTTCATATCTATAATGAACAGTTGAGCTTTAAGATTTTGTTCCAATGCATCACTGGTGAGTAAGGCATATTTGGCTAGTCTTTGTTCCATCATCGTATGTGAAAGTGACCACATGTGGGAAATAAAGCTGAGTGCCTGAAAACATAACAATTATTCCCAAGAATGCTTCTTTTTCTGTCATTGTCCTGAAACTTGTTCAAAAATATTAGCAAAGCAACTTGATGATATCAACGCACTCGATTCATAGAGTCCTAACAGACAATATATTTACCTTGGAGGTTCATACCTTTTGGTGTCCCTGTTCAGATAATGGCTTTCCCTCTGCTTTGTGTAAGGGCTTGGGACCTTCATATCCAAGGCAAAGATGGACATGAAATGAAACTTTCTGTTGTTTGTTCAAGTATTTTAATGCGTGTAAATGTTGATTCTGTGTTTTTATCCCCCATCATACAATTGTGTCCATCTTTGCCCTGAATTCGGCAGCATTAAAAACCATTTTTTTTTTTTTTTTGGGTGGAACCACCAGCACGGCTCCTATCCTCAACAACCACTCCAGCCACCACTACTATCACTGTCCTTCCTCCTTTGGCCGACGGCGCTCCTTTCGTCTTGCTTCCATCCTTGCTCTCCACTCCTCGAAGGTTTCCTCTGCTGTGTTAGCACAGTACCAGCTGCCATAATACTGTGTGTGGCTTGCTGGATCCCTCGGTTGCCCACACTGACTGCAGTTGGAGATCCTCGTCCGCGGGTTGAATTTCTTCTTAGGAGCTCCAGCAGCAGCCTCCTCAGTAGCATGGCGCCTGTAGCATGCTGTACTTCTTGGGACCCTTGCATCACCATCAGCTGATACCTGCTGGTCTGCGGGGTAATCGGATGGAGGCCTAGATCTTGAATCCGCTCAGCTGGGAGGACGACAGTGATAGGTGGGGTTGGTTGGGTCGAGGGTGGCCGAAGCCCAGCCACGGGCATTGGAGTTGGACTGACCGGGGCGTTGGTGTTGTCCTCATCGCCTTCAGGGTTCCCTTCCCTGCAGTGTCCTCCGGAATGCTGTATTGGAAGGGATGGTCCTCACCAGGCACGGTCAATGTTTGAGGTCTCTGCACAGGCTCGGGGAGGGGCCCCGAAGTGGTCATTAGGGGTTTGGGCAGCGAGATGCCCATCTCCAGGACCTGCCTCTCCTTTTTTTTTGGAGTTTGCATTGAACCTGTAAATGTTACCACATGCAAGAAAGACAAAACATTCAAGCAACAAGTTCAGAAAGCACACTGCATCTACAGCAATGAAGAGATATATTTACCACTGAATGAGAGACA